CCCATAACTAAAACATCCTAATTTTTAAATAAAATTAGACTATTTTAGTTCTTTTATATATATATATATACTGATGTAGCAATGTTGTTCTAAATTAAGAGGTCGATTGTTAGAAATTTTGAGAAAATTTATTTTTGAACACATTTTTTCTCTAATAAATGTTTAAATTTATAAGAATTTGCACAAAAGAATTTGTTTTAAAATGTTTTGCCAAAAACACTGTATCAAACAACCCTAAACGTTCTCTCAAGAGTAGAATTCAAGGTCCAAAAGCAGGTCGATTATAATTAGCATGAGAGCTAGATTTATAGGCGGAATTGGATCTCGATCTTAAATGGGAAGATCCGGCTTCAGATTGAGGTGGTGCACGATACCTTGGTGATAAGGAATTAGAGTTTCTACCAATATTGATTTTGCCAAAACGTTTGAAAATAAGAATATTTGCGAAATCAAGCATGCCTTCAAAGAACGGATAAATTCAAGTTGACAGAGGTTAAAGTAGTTGGAATTTGGGAAAATAATATATATGGATTCATACCTTAATTAAATGGTTAGCTTCCTTCTCTGTTTGAATTAGGGGTGGGCATTTGGGTGGGTAACCGAATGGTTACCTAGAAATTGAACCAAAAAAATGAATTCGGTTTGGTTTCAATAATTTTTGAGTTTTATTGTTTTGGTTTTGATATTAACCAAATAAATTTTGATTTGATTTCGGTTAAACTTTTCACAAACCAATAATCGAAAATAAGCTTCTTGAAAATCAAAATTTGGATAAATATGATAAAATATGAGATAAAATATAATCTATTATTGGAGAAAAATTGATTAATATTTATTTAGTAAAAACCGAAACCAAATTAATCGATTTATGAAAACTTTGGTTTGATTTCGGTTCTCAAAATTTTTTTTAAAAATTTTTGGTTATTTTAAAATCGGTTTCGATTTCAACCGAAACTAGTTTTTGCCCACCCATAGTTTGAAACTTTGAATAATCAACAAAAGGCAACTGGGGAGGATCATCCATCAGCCAACATTTCCAAAGAGTCAAAAGTAATCATTAATTAGTCAACACTTCCCAGAGT